AATCCTATGGGGCAGTTCTGTGTCCTATAAAGTCACTACAAATTGGAATAAACTCAATGGCAGTGTTTTTTTTGTTTTGGTACAGGCCTGGAAGATGCTGGAAACTGAGCAAAGCCAGCCTAAGGATAAAGAAGATGTGATAGTTCAGGTTATGTGTCAACTTGGCTGGGCCTGTTTTTGAGTGGCTGGGCAGCTGGATGTAGTTATTCTGCATGGTGAGATTGGTAATCAGCTCCATGGTGGAACCTACTGGAGCAGCTGAGTAGCTGCTTTAGGGATGTGGTCTGCTTCCAGTGTGTAAGAAGCAACTTTGAGGAAGGTCTCCAAGCTTTATGGCACACTTGAACCCTGCATGTACAAGTCTTCATTTAGCAGCCTGCCATGTTTCCTGCCGATCTTGGGACTGTCTCTGGACTTGAACTAATGGCTTGCCATGTTGTGTGGTAATATTGGGACTGTGCCATTTTATTTGTCAACCTTGGACTTGTTCACCTCAGCAGCCAGCAGCTGCCTGAGTGAAGAGACACCTCTAGCTCCAGTGGCCTGAGAGCAAGAGGCAGAGCTGAAGCCCAAGGTCGAGGAGCTTTCACCCAGCCCCTAGAGCCTGGCACTTTGAACTCAGACTTCTAGCCTCCAAAACTGTAAGAATAAACTACTGCTTGTTCAAGCCACCCATTTGTGGTATTTTCTGTTAGAGCAGCACAAAGTAACCAAAAGAGCAGATACATGGAAGAGAGCAGAGACAAGAAGGCTGCAGAGAAACAAAATCAGATGATAGTAAATTTTTATGTCAAATCAGCCCTGAAGCCACACTACCACTGAACTGCTCAGTTACAAGAGCCAGTAAGTACTTTTAGAAGAATGAAGAAAACCAAAGACACATGGAAACAATTAGTCCAAGGGACTAATAGACCATGCGATCCTCAGCTTATATGGCCATGAAACCAGAAGAACTAGATGGTGTCCAGCTACCATTGTCAACCAGTTGGAGGAGGGTCAGTGCAGGAGATCCTAGATAGAGTGGGAGAACAATGTGGAACAAAACTCAAAGTCATAAAAAAAAAAAAAAAAAGACCAGGTTTGCTGATCTGATAGAACCTGGTGAGGCCCCTGAAATTATGGCCCCTAGTTACCCTTCAGGTCTGGAATTGAACCCACAGCCAAACAATAGACAGGCATATGGGATAAACATTTACATCAGGTAGGTACACGCCTTGGAGTGATCAATCTTGGGAGGACAGAAGGGCAATGTTTCTACAGGGAGATAGCTGGGGTGGGGGGCTGCATGGGAAGGAAGGACACAAGCAAGTGGTAACTACAGGCAGGAAGTGGGAAGAGAGCTGTTACATTGTGGGGAATTGCAGTCAATGTCATGAAACAAAATGCGTATGAATTGCTGTATGGAAAATAAACTTGCTCTGTAAACTTTCACCCAAATCACAATAAATATGGGAGGAAAAGAAAAAAAAAAGAGCCAGTAAGTTCTTTCATTGTTTAAGTGGTTTACATTACATTTTTCTCAATTCAACTTAGAATTTTTAACCTGGTTTAGAATCTTAGCTCTGCCTCTTAGTATGTGCCTTTGAGAAAGTTACTCAACTTCTCCATGCCTCAGTTTTCTGATCTCTAAAATGGGATTACATATTTCTTATATTTTTATTTTATGGAATATACATACATACCTATCATATGTATCCTCATGTATGTTACACATCCAATAATTTTTTTTTCTTTCTTTTTTTTTTTTATTAGGATTTGGGTGAAGATTTACAGAGTAAATTCACTTTTCATACAGCAGCTCACATACACTTTGTCTCATGTCATTGACCAAAATTTACAATGCAGCAGCTCCCCTCCCACTTCCTCCCCATAGTTACCTCCTCCCAGTGTCCATCCCTTCATACTCTTCGAGAGGCCCATTGTCTGCCAACCCTGTATATGATCTTGGATACACTCTCCATTTAGACATACATAATTGTTTAGCTTGTTCACCCATCTATCCGTCCCTATACCCATGTTTGCTTTCATTGACAACTCAGTATTGTATTTACAAAGGGGTTCATATTTGTTGTTTGTACTGCCCATGTAACTCTCTCTGTCTTTCTCATCCTCAATGCTGCCATACTGGTCACTCACATTTGGTACATTGCCCTTCTCTTCACCCAAATCAATATTTATCTCTATCTATCTAACAGCATTCCCTCCCCTTCCCTCCCACCCCTGGTAACCAACAAAGAACATGTCCTCCAATATATAAACCTTTCCTTAACTTTCACAATAACGGACTAATACAATATTTGTCCTTTTGTGACTGACTTATTTCGCTCAGCATAATGTCCTCCAAGTTCATCCACGTTATGCAGTGTTTTGCAGATTCTACATTATTCTTTAGCGTTGCATAGTATTCCATTGTGTGAATGTACCAAAGTCACATTCAATAATTTTTAATAATACATATTTCTAAAGACTTGAGTGCTCAATGATGTAATGAAATCCCTTCTAAACAATAATTTCCAGTAACTAGAAACATTAAGTATCACCTGTACAATCACCTTCAGTGATGTTCTAAAAGGAGTTCCTGCTTTGATGAGAGACTAGCTCTGACACCCTTTCTAACACAGAAAATCTATGAAACAATTTCTGATTTGAACATTCCTAGGAAGTGGAATCACTGCCTGGAACAATAGCAAGGAAATATAACAAAGGAGCTCTCCTTTGGCCCAGAGACAGGTAAAACTCATGTACGACTAATGTTAATGGTGCACAGGAGAAACAATGTTAATAGAACAAGTGATAAAAACAACAGTTCTCAATTAGGTTTTTAAACTCTCCTTACCCCCACAGAGAAGCTTTCACCCACCCCCAAGATCTTTAAAGGCTCCATGTGTGGGGAGGCAGAGGGTGAAACTAGGACTCTACAGGAAGGGTTACAGGAAGGGTGAGAGCTATAGTGATATATTTGAGGGAAGAGTCAGACACAGGAGCTGTGCAAAGGACAGAAAGCCAAGGACCACAGGCTCCACTGGTATCTGAACTAACTTTTTCACTTGACCTTTTTACGTTTCAAAAGAGCTCTGGTGGTGTAGTGGTTAAAGCATTTGACTGCTAACTGAAAGGTCAGTGGTTCAAACCAGCTAGATGCTCTGTGGGAGAAAGATGAGGTATTCTGCTTCTGCAAAGAGTTACAGTCTTGGAAACCTCATGGGACAGTTCTATAGTCAGAACTGACTCAATGGCAGTGGGTTTGGGTTTTATGACTTTCAGCATCCATTATATTTCAGAGAGAGACCACCAACCATCAGAAGTATTTATTAGATATTTATATTTTGAATTCTCCCTTCCCAACAATTCCCTTCATTATTTTTTGCTGGACCCAAAGATATCAAAGCCATCCATTGTCAGCTTTACTTGTCTTCAAAGTTCATCAGTGCCTGCACTGTAAAGAAACAGACTATGAGATGGAAGAGTTAAGAATATTCAGGATATATAAATGTTTGGTGCAGACTCTATTTTTCCAGGTTCTAGGTTCCCACACAAATCTTTACTTTAAATTAAGCCATATGAATCTGTGTATACTTTGCTATAGATAATCAAGTTAATCAGGATTAAAGAAGCCAGCTTGTTACCTTCTCCTTCCTTTCACCCTGCACTTGAGGTTCCCCAGAAAACAATTGGGAAGGCAGGGCTGGATGAATCATAGGTAACATTTTGAAGCAGGTACAGCTTGTCCTTAAGAAGCCCTTGTAGTGTAATGACTAAGTGCTTAGCTGCTAACAGAAAGGTCAGCAGTTCGAACCTACCAGCTGCTGTGAGGTCTGCTCTTGTGTATTTAAAGCCCAGGAAACTCTATGGGGGCAGTTCTACTCATAGTTGAGTACCCAACAACAAAGTCTGTCTTTAACATTCTGCTTCAAATTCTTTTTGCCCTCCTGCACCCATCATACACACACACACACACACACATACACAGATACACACACTCCTTCTAATTTCTTATTTTCACATTGGCTTGATTTCAACAAGTTATGAGGAAGAAAACTCAGATAACACTAATCCATATTAAACTAAAAAACTGTCCCTAACCCTTTCAGTTTTTGTATATTTTAGAGGGAACATTTACTAATCCAAATTAATCTCTAAGTGGTAAAATTTCAATTGAAAAATTTAGGAAATATAATTTTGAGCAGCAAATTTTCAGCATAAATCAAACTCTACTATTTAAATCACACCATTTCTCTCTGCTTAAGGTGAAACTACCAAAACCAAACCTACTGCCATTGAGTAGATTCCAACTCATAGAGACACTACAAGATAGAGTAGAACTTCCCCACAGGGTTTCCTTCCTTTACAAAAGCAAACTGCTTCATTTTTCTCCCATGGAGTGGCTGGTAAGTTTAAAATGCTGACTTTTTGGTTAGCAGCCAAAAGCTTTAACCACTATGCCACCAGGGCTCCTAAGCTGACACTCAAACTCTAAACCAAACTCACTGCCATCGAGTTGATTCTGATTCACAGTGACCCCACAGGGTTTCCAAGACTGTAAATCTTTACAGAAGGGGAGCAGACTGCCTCATCTTTCTTTCACAGAAAGAGTGGCTGGTGGGTTCACACCACTCATTGTACCACTTAACTATGGACAACAGAAGGGGCTAAAAGAAAGAAAAGGAGTTCTGGTGGCGTAGTGCCTAAGGCACTTGACTGCTAACCAGAAGGCTGGCGGTTCAAACCCATTAGCCACTCCTCGGAAAGAAGGTTGGGCAATCTACTTCTGCAGTGATACCGCCTAAAAAACCCAAAGAGGGGTTGCTATGACTATGAGTTGGATCCGACTCAACGGCAGTGGGTTTAAAAGAAAGTCTGTAATTCATAAAGTTCTTTTAGGGGCTGTAGGCAGTAAGCACTTGTGGGTTTTCTGCTTACTGTCTACTCCTCACAGCTGTTTAACTTAAGCCAGAGGCCCTACTGTTCAAGACTGAACAAAGACAAGAAATATGTATAGAAGGGAGTGGGCTCCCCAAATCCAGCAAAAGCCCACCTTGACCTAATTCCCAAGTGGAACTGGACACTCACCTTTTGGGAAACAAGATCTCACAGGATTGGGGCGTCCCCTGCTAGAGAAGCAGAGTTCCCAGGTTCTTTCTGTTGTTTTTTGCCATCGAATTGGATCCGATTCATAGCGACCCCTCCTTGGGTTTCTGAGGCAGTATCACTACAGAAGTAGATTGCCCAACTTTCCTTCCCAGGAGTGGCTGGTGGGTTTGAACCACCAGACTTCTGGTTAGCAGTCAAATGCCTTAGGCACTATGACACCAGAGCTCCCAGGTTCTTTCTAGGTTAAAGAAAATTCGGCCATGTGCCCAGAATGTGACATACCAAACCAAGGGTTTGCCCTTTTTAGGTTTGAAATGGAAACTGAGAGGCTGAGATGCCAAAATAGTGGACACTTAACCTTCCTTCTCCCCAGTTATATACGCTGCTCTTATGTACTTAACTGCTGGTCCCCATCACTGCCCTAAATCCATACCTGCAAACTCTTGCAATCGCTTACGCTCCTCTAGATTATACTGAAGCTTTTCTAGCAACTCAAAATATCTGAAGAGTGAATCTCTGGGCCAAACAACACGTTCCTCCTGATCCATTTCCATTAACCCAGGTAGATTCTGGTGCACGTGAGTCTCCCAGTCCAACTGACCTGTAGCAAAGAATGCTTCTTAATAGCATGTCTTAACTTGTAGAAGTTGGTTAAAGGCTGATAAGGGCAGGGATGAAAGTGGTAACAGGAAGCAGGAAAAAATAAGGATACAATACAAAGAAACTGCTTTTTTTTTTTCTCCTCCTCAGCCACACTTATTCAAAGTAAAGCAGAGGTACAAGGAAATGAAGCAGCTTAAAGAAAGAAATTCAGACCAGGAAGTCACACTGGTAGAGAAACTGGGAAGCAGATGTAGTGGGATAGCTTCTATTAAGATTAGGATATCTTACAGAGGAAAAAAAGAGTCTGGATTCAAATGGAGGAAATGCTTCCTCTCACCAATAGTTTCAGAATCTTTGGATTCAGATAAATAGGAGGAGGATGTGGAGGAAGAAGATGAGGACTCTTTTGCTTTCGGTGTTGCTGGATTCTGTTTAGTAGCATTTTGTTTAGACTCATCTCCAGAAGGTTGTAAGTCTAAAGAGCCTTCTTCTAGATCTGTTCGTCTGTAAATAAAAGGGAAATTTTTATTGCTTCAAATAGATTTACAAAACGTGACTAGTTCATTCCTTATTTTGGTCCTGGCCCTGGTAATACCCTAAAACTAGGACTTCAGGTAATGAAGGCCAAACTGCTGCTAAAAAAATCTAAGCTTAGGTGCTTCCAACCTCAATCATCTCCATCTGATAGACCTCTTTAGTACTCTACACCACATAGCTCTGTGCTCAATTCTACTCAGGCCTCTATACCCAACTTTATTTTGCCAAGGTTTAGTTCCCCACTGTTGTTGTTGTTGTTGTTATTTGCCATCGAGTCGGCCCCAACTCATAGCGACCCCTCCTTGGGTTTCCGAGGCAGTATCACTATGGAAGTAGGAATGCCCAACCTTCCTTCCGAGGAGTGGCTGAGTTCCCCACTATATGGTCTTATTCCTATAACACCACAACTATAGCCTTTGTCCCCTCTATTTCGTCTCTTAACATTGTAGTGTCCTTGGGTTCACCTATTGGTCTTTTTATCTTCTCCATCTACACTCCCTCCATTGATGATCTCATCTCCTAACTTTAAATGCCTACTGAATGGCAAATTTAGGAGCTCTGGTAGCATAGTGCCTAAGGCACTTGACTGCTAACCAGAAGGCTGGCTGTTCAAACCCACCAGCCACTCCTCGGAAGTAAGGTTGGGCAATCTACTTCCATAGTGATAGTGCCTTGGAAACCCAAGGAGTCGCTATAAGTCGGGTCTGACTTGACAGCACATAACAACAACAAACGGCAAATTTAAACCTCTAGCCTAGATCTCATCCCAAATCTAGAATTGTACATACAACATTACTCATATATTGCCACTTGAATGTCTAACAGATATCCCAAAATTCAACAAAAACTGAACTCTTTACCCACCAAAACTCTCCCCCCTGTACCTTTCCCCACCTTAGCTAATTTATTTTTCCAGCCAAAACTTTGGAGTCATTTTTAACTTTTCTTTTCTTTCATACTCACAAGCAATCTAATAAGAAATTCTATTTACCTTTAAAATGTGTCTCTTCTTACTACCTGACTAGTATCATGCTGGCCCAAGCTACCATCATTTCTTTTCTAGATAGCAGCATAGTTTCCTAACTGGTCTCTCTATTCCTTATCTTGTTCTTCATCAACACAGTCAACCTTCAACAGAATAATCCTTCTTAAACATTAAGTCAGGAGCTCTGGTAGCATAGTGCCTAAGACACTTGACTGCTAACCAGAAGGCTGGTGGTTCAAACCCACCAGGCACTCGTCGGAAGAAAGGTTGGGCAATCTACTTCTGTAGTGATACTGCCTCGGAAACCCAAGGAGGGGTCGCTATGAGTTGGGTCCGACTCAAGGGCACATAACAACAACAACAAACATTGTCACTTCGCTGCTCACCATTTCACTCAGAGTAAAAGACTAAGTTCTGACAATGGCTCCCATGGCCCTAAAATATTGTGACTCCATCATCTCTCTGATCTCATTTCCTATCATTCTTCCCAGTGCTCAGTCTGCTCCAGTCACAATGGCCTCTTTGCTGTTTGTCAAACACATTAGGCATGCTTCTGCCTTAGGACTTCTATACTAGCTCTTCCATCTGCCTAAAACACTCTTCCCATAGATAATTCACCTGTAACCCCATCTTCAATCCCTGTCCTATATGCTCAAGTCCCCTTATCCTGTTCTGCTTTTTTAGTTTTTCATAATGCTTATCATATTTTAACATATTAAATAATTTACTTATTCAATATGTTCATTGTTTTTTGTCTCTTCCCCTCTACTAGTATGTAAACTCCATGATGACAGGCATTATCATCTGTTTTGTTCACTTGATATATCCCAAGTACCTAATTAATATTCAACAATTATTTGTTGTATAGATAAATGGATTTCTTATATCTCCTTCTGCTATCTTGTATACTACTGAACTCAGGGTCTAGAATAGTATCTGTTTTGTAGAAAGTACTTGTATTGGTTTCCTGTAGCTACCGTAACAAATCAGCACAAACTTGGTAGCTTAAAACTACAGAAATGTGTTCTCTCACAGTTCTGAAGTCCAAAAGTCCAAAATCAAAGGTTGACAGAGCCACACTCCCTCTGGAGGCCCTGTGGGGTAAGGTTCCTTATCTCTCTACCTTCAGCTAGCTGCCCAGCATTCCTTGGATCCCCTTGGCCTGTGCCTCTGCCTCCACTTTCATGTTGTCTTCTCCTCTTCTGTATCTTATAAGGCCACTTGTTGGATTTAGGGCCCACTCAGATAATGCAAGATGAGCTCTTCCTGAGGTCTTTAATTTAATTATACCTGCAAAAACTCTTTTTCCAAATAAGGTCACATTATAGGTTCTGGGGGTTAGGATATGGTCATATCCTTGGTGGGGGGGAGGGGGAGGAGAAGCGGGTAGGAGAATGGGCACCATTCAACCCACTACAATAAAGTTATTGAATGAATGAATTCTCTCTCAAAGTCAACTTTTATCTTTGGATTTCTACCCTTTCCTCCCTGTGTTTCCATCCCAGTTCACATATACACCCCTAACCTGGTATCAGTTTTGCTATGGCTTGACTTCAGTGCCTCAGGGGACAGGTTTTGTCTCCTGCAAAACAAAACACAAAAGAATGAAGAAAATTATACTCAAGCAGGAGCATTATAAGGGAAAAAGAGAGAGAGGGGTGGGTCGGAAAGAGAATTCAGATGAGAAATTGGAGAACACTGAGTGAGGGAAAGAATTGTAGTTAAAGGAGTAAAAAAGATTGGAGGAGCCCCAGTAGTGGATAAAGAACCAGGCCATATTCTGTATTTGAGTAATTCCTAACCCTGGGGCAAATCTGTCACAAGGGGAAAAGTGGGGTCAAGGCCAAGGAGCAGAAAGAGGGATTGAGGTCAGGAAACTCACGAAAACTAAGGTTGGGTTAGAAAATGGGGAAGCAGACCTCTGGATAATCTGCCGCTTGAATATGCCGGCTTTTTGTTGAACCTCCAGATGTGTCATCTCCTCATTCAGTTCATTCCTGATATTCTGGAAGTTAGTAACTGCCCCAAAGGGCCATCAGGAGTTGTGAGATGGTGGTGACTAGGTCTGGGAACAAGGCTTACATGGGTGGAAACCAAGTGAAATATCCATTTCAGGCCCCAAACCTTCCTGCTATACCAGGTTCTTTCTATCCATATCCACCAAATCCAGCTTTCCTAGTCATTTCTTCTCAACTATGCCTCCCATCAAGTTTCACTTCCTATATGCTTACCCATCATGGCTACTATGATATTTCGAAAGATAATGGAGCCAAGCAACAACCAAAGGATTACGTAGATGCTGCTGAAGGTGCGGCTGACTTCAGGTACCTTCCAGACATCTTGAAGCAGTGCATACCAATGATCCAAGGTGAAGAGAATGAACACTGTCACTAGGGAATTTAGCACATCCCTAGAAAAAATGGAGGAGTATGTATCTATATATAGAAGCAGAGATTTAAACCTTTTAGAATCAGTATGATTCAAACTTTTAAAGCAACATAAGAACATTTATTTGTGATTTATTCTGACTTTGGTTCCTTTTCTACCATACTCAATATTTTAGCTTATCATTCTTTAGTTTAAGGATGTTTTACAAGGTTTTCCTTTACGATAAATAACATATGAAAGCCTCTCACTACTCCATTAGTACCTGGGGCACACTCAATAAAGAGGTGCTGACTGAATTTTTTAAAAAATGAACAACTAGATATCATTTTTTGTAATTTCATTCAATACTGCTTGATGGACATCATTTAATAGGTCACTTACAAATTTAACAAACATCATCCCTATTTTGCTCACTGATATAAACTGAAAGGTGAGTAAATGGATGAATGTGTGAGATAAACATATATGATCCCAAATAACTCTCTAGAACATATCACAAAAGGACTCAGGAAGGTGCCTAAATAGTCCTCCTTTCCTTCTTAGTCATCCAGGTACATTATTATTGAAAACATCAGGGCCTGAACTGGATGAATCCTAGGACTTTCCTCACTCAATACTTTTAATAAAACTACCTGTTGGAGTCTAAGACAGATCTGAGAGGTGCTGAAAAGATTAGATTCCAATTTATAAATAAAATTGCTATCATCCAGTTGATTCTGACTCATAACAACTCTATGTGACAGAGTAGAACAGCACCGTAGGGTTTCCTAGGCTATAATTGTTAGGGGAGCTGACCTTTTCTCCCACAGAGTGGCTGGTGGGTTCGAACCAACAAACTTGTAGTTAGCAACTGAGTGCTTAACGATTATGCCACTAAGGCAGTTTATCTCCTCCAAATTCAAGTTGACTTTCTAGTAGCAATCAGTGCTTTCTTTGTGAACTTATCCAGATTTTACTTTTGAATGAGTATATGGAAGTGCAGGTGCAATCCCCATACCTAGGAAGCCTATCATGATTAGGATATATAAAACCAGTGACCATGTTTAAAAGTAGGGGTAACACTTGCTGATCACTTACAATGTGTCAAGTACTGTGCCATGTGCATAAATGTATTTATTACCTCATTTAATCCTCATACTTCTATGAGGCAGTACTATTATCCCCACTTTTCAAATGAGGTAAATGAAGCATAGAAACCAGGGTTTAACTACTGGAGTATACTGCTATTGAAGAATGATTGATGAAGGTGTGTTTGAATTTACAAACCCTAGAGTAGACATGAATCAGCTGCCCTATACTCAAAATCAGAGGTATCACCACTCATTAGTCCTTTGCTGTCTCTTTCCCTCTCCTTACTGTGTTCTATTCCACTTTCTTATATTAGACTTTAGACTATATATATATATATATATTTTTTTTTTAACTACATTTTGGATTAATTTCCCAGTCCCTTTCCCAACTTCCCTCCCCCTCCCCCAGGCTTCCCCCAGCCCTGCCTACGAGAAGAACATGTGATACTCCAGGTCCTGGCGAGTTGACCGGGTGTAGCCTTCGAAGAAGTAGACACCAGCCACAGCAAAAATGTAGAAGAAGATGAGCAGCAACATCAAGAGGAAGGTCATGGACTAGAAGCCATTATCTCCAGTCAGAGCTGGGCCAGACTAGGCTGATATCTACCCAGTCAAGCCCACTCTGGCAATCCCCAAGCCAAACCCTCATTTCCAGTCTTAAACCCAGCATTTCTAGACCACTATAGCTTCTTCCCAGGCCCTCCTCATTCAACAACATTTCACGGAACCTTTTCATTACCTTCTTTGATCCACCCAGACTTGCTTTATATTAAACTCCCATGTTTATATCCACCTTTGCCCCTGACTTAGTTACAACAGGCAAATCACCTTGAGGGCCCTGACCAGGGCCAAAATAATGACTCGAATTTGACGAAATCGTGCAAAGAGTTTGAGAGACCTCAGCACCCTGCAGATCCTCAGCAACTGGAGCCACACTGATTGGCTTGTTACCCCTACCAGCACCACAATCTCAGGAATCAATGACTGTAGGAAACACACATATTTATGAGGAATATACCCAAAAGCATCCACTTACATTTGCCCTTTCGTCATCTCATTTTCTTCATTTTCATTCTTCCCTAGGCATTATCCCTTGAATAGCATTTTCTGGGGACTGGTTCCTATTCAACCTTTCTGTACTAAATTACTTAAACTCTGTGCCTCAACTAACTCAGATGTAAAAAGGAGATAAAAAGAAGTGTTTATCTCATGGAGTTGTTATAGGACTCAAATGAGATAATACTGGAAAAATAGAACAGTGCTTGGCATTAAGAAATATTCAGTAGCTGGTAGATATTAACGTTTGGGATCGATATTATCGTTAGACTCTATTAGACTCTGCCTTATCCTTAATACCAACAATTCGTACAATGATTGCCTCATAGTTTTTAGGAAAAAAGCCAAAGAAGTTAGCTAAATTTTAAATTTTCTTCCTGTAATCTAATCATCTTAGTTTTTCTTAGCATTTTGATTCACCTAGGCACATTCTTCAGCCAGCCAAACTAATCATCAGGGTATCTAGTCTTACCAAAATGGTGACAACAAAGTCAAAGACATTCCAGGCATTCATCCAGAAGAGGGCAAAGTTGGATGTCCACATAAGAAGGATCTCCAAGAGGAAAACAAGCAAGATGAACCAAGCTGCTACCTCCAGAGTCAGCTTCAGTGGCAAGAGTTTGGTATTTGTGGATTCCAGCAATTCTGTAAGAGTAAAGCAAAGCATAAGTAAGGGTTGAAAAAAGGGTGAAGTTGAATGATGAAGAGAATGATCAAGAACTGTTATAAGCCACAGCTGTGCCCACTGCTATTCTATTTTTCTTTGAGCTTCTCTTTTTAACACTGTTATTACTTCAATCTGTGAAATACAGGAAACAGAATTTACAAAAAAACAAACAGCTACAAGTCTAGGGCTGCACAGCCAACTGTTGTAAATGCTATCAGTAAGTTGCATACCAACAAAATGTTGAATTGGCAAAGGCAAAAGTTGTGTGACTAGATGTAGTTACAACAACAAAAAGAAGTAGCTGCTGAGTCTGATTATGTACAACCAAATACCTCATGGGATTTGGTTCTTTGGTTTGGAGATGTAGGATCATGGTTTCATGGGACATCCAATTAATTGCCCTAATGATGTGTTTAGTGCTTCTCTTCTACCTCCTACTTGTTATGTGGTGCTTAAAAGCTTTTAAGTGGCCATCCAAGGTACTACAATTGGACTCTATTTGCCTGGGAGAAAGGTGAATAAATAGAGTCAGGAATAAGAGGAGGAGATGGCATGTCTGGCCAATTGCCTCTATGAACAACTGCCTCCCTTGCCATGAGACCAGAAGAACTAGATGGTGCCCAGCCACCATTACTCAGATTTTGATCAAAGATTGTATAGAGGAACCCTGATCAAAAGGGAGAAACTGCAGAAGAGAAATTCAAAATCTCATTGACTCTAGATTTTCTGGTGCCATGAAGACTAGATGAACCCCAGAAACTACTACTCTGAGATAATCTTTAAAACTTAAACCCAGAAGTCTTTTAAAAAACAAACAATAGTTTATCTTACTTAGTAAAAAATGTTTGCCTTAAGCATTATGCTCTTTTAAGATCTATCTATATGGGATTGAATGGGCAACTCTAAAGATTAGATAGGAACCTCCCCTTAGGGGGCAGTGAGTTTATACCAATGTTTATACCAATGGGGGAGAAACAACTCAGAAAAGGAGGGTGAGAATTCACAACTCAAAGATGTAATCAATGTCACTGAATTGTACATGTAGAAACTGCTAAATTTGTGTATGTTGTGCTGTGTATATTCTCAACAACAACAAATTATTTTAAAAAATAATAATAAAACAAAACTGTATGGATCACAACAGTCTGGTCCACAACTGATAATGGGAATGGCACAGGAATTGACTCAATGACAACAATATATATATATATATATATATATATATAATTGCCTTTCTTTTTCTTTTTTAAACCATTGCTTTTATAATAGAAAAAAAATATATTTTTAAAAAAATAACTACAAATCATCTCCTTTTGGTATTGGTATCTCTAATAGCTGCAAGTCATTGCCTACTAACTCTGGTGTTATACAGCCACCAAAGGTTCATTTTTTGAACTACTACCAACTCTGCCTGACTGCTGTACTGTTATCCCAGACCCACGATGGGCCTTGAGAATAGAAAGAAAATGTAGGGCTATAATATGAAAAGTACTTTATAAGGAATGTAGAAACAAGGAGCCAGACTCATGGGACATATTGAATTGGTTCCTTATTTGTTAGCTTTATTTAAAAACTTTTCTTTTCTTCTCTGCCTAAAATTGATTTCTGTTCTGCAAAGTAAATTGAATATTATACTTCTTCTCTATGACCCTGCTTGTATTTGCTGGACTGCTATCCCATGGATTGCCAGAAGAAAGAACAATCTGTCTTGGAAGAAGTACAGCCAGAATACTCCTTAGAAGCAAGGACAGTGAGACTTTGTCTCACATACTTTGAACATGTTAACAGGAAGGACTGGTCCCTGGAGAAAGATGTCATGCTTGGTAAAGTAGAGCGTCAGTGAAAGAGAGTAAGATTCTAAGGAGATGGATTGACACAGTGGATGTAACAATGAGCTCAAGCATAGCAATGATTGTGAGGATGGTGGATAACTGGGCCGTGTTTTGTTCTGTTGTACACAGGTTCGCTATGATCCGGAATTGACTCAACAACACCTAACAACAACAACCTTACTTCACATACTTTAGCTCACTCACCATTAGGTACCAATATCTCTAATAGAAACAGAAAATGATAATTCAAGCAAATATTAGACTAAGTTGTCAAAATAAATATAACTGGTATTCCCATCTCCAGTTCCTTGTGGATTTGTTATATTGCTATATATTACATCCTACTTCTAAGTCTCAAGACTATCCTGTATCTATTACATTCTCAAGAGCCCTCCAAATGTTCCTAGGTCATAGCAATTGCACAAATCCTACACAAAGGGCTTAATATAAATGCCCCTATTACAATTCAAACGACATTCAAAAACATAAAATAATTAATTTAAATGAAAAATTACTCCCACCGACTTCTTCTTTCTTTCAATATCAGTTCTTACCTATTTCAACCATCAGTACAATTGTATTCAAAAAGATGAGGAAGATGATAAAGTTTGAGAAAAGAGGATCTGTTTTCTTTTAAGGAAATATACAGAATGGAGTTACCTCTGATTTATGCAGTTTAAATAATTAGGAGGAGATAGAAGCAATGAGAATGAGAAGAAAATGGAATTTGGGAAAGGAAAAATAAGTCAATTAGGCAAATGATGAGGCAAGAGAGACAGTGAAAGCCATGGGGTGAAGATGAGTGGCATGAAAGGATACGCTCAAGGACCCATCCGGCCCACAATGAAAGAGGTGGCCTCTGACTGCAGCGCACCCGAAGCCTGCTCATCAGTCTCCGGGCATGTGTAATCCGTTCTACATGACGAGGCTTTATAGAGAAGCGCACTAGCTGGTGTTGATCTCCCAACATAAGTTGCCTTTGATGGGAAGGATCTATAACAAACATTTCAAAGGGTCATTGGGTAAATATAAAGAGAGGACACATGGGAATATGACGATCAGGTAGGGTTTTAGGCAGGGATTAAAACAAACAAACCTGTTGCCTTTGAGTAGATTTTGGCTCATGGCAACCCCATGTGTACCAGAGTAGAACTGTGTGTTCCATAGGGTTTTCAATGGATGATTTTTTGGAAATAGATTACCAGGCCTTTCCTCCTTAAGAACTCCAACTTTTTGGTTAGCAGCAGAGTGTGTTAACCATTTACACCACTCAGGGACTCCAGAGGGCAGGAATACTGGTCAGTTAATGGGCCCCCTAGTGAAGGGGCTTTCCTTGCTGCTGCTCCTCACAGCAGCAAGAACCCTCTTAGAAGTAATGTATTGCTTATGATCAATACTGCCTATGCCTAAAAATAAAGGCAACAGGTTCCATCCTCAAAGTTTCAAGTGCCTTTGTTAGAAATTTTTCCAACTTAGCCAAGGCTAGTAGTTATCTTATGCTTAAAAATCAGTGACATGGGCTCTATCTCCTGGGTGCAAAGAATTTTATTTAGAAAGCCCTTGATTTATCAAGTTTGGTGTATCCTCCAAACTAGCAACCAAACCAACCTTTCTGAATTTTCCACCCTTAAATTTGTCTTTTTGCTTCCTACTTTTTTGAGGATGTTTAGATAGGAAACTTAAACTTATCCTTGCAAAGTAACAAGCTGCTGACCAAATAACTCCCGTAGAGTGTGCCGTGGAACAGCTTGGCTCAAGCCTTGCAAATGCTCAATGAGAGAGAAGATATCAATAAGACGTGAACGAATGGCGTTGGCTCGGGGCAATTGCATGCACCCCGCTGGATGGTAAGTAGCCATATCTGTTAAGAAAATGGAGAATCAAGTGATTTAATTCATAGAGTTGCACCAAGAATGAGAAGCTTTTTTTCCCTCCTCTTCATGCTCTTTGTCAAGAGATGTTGTTGTTAAATGATGTCAACTAGATTTCAATTCATAGTGACCTCATGTGACAGAGTAGAATTGCCCCAAAGGGTTTTCTTGGCTCTAGTCTTTAAGGGAGGAGGCCTGGTGGCTCAGTGGTTAAGAGCTTGGCTGCTAAGGGAAAGGGCAGTGGTTACGTCAAAGGATTATTGGTTTAAGGAAACTGTTTAAGGAAACTGATTGCCAAGTCTTTCTTCCACAGACCGATGCTTGGGTTTGAAATGCCAACCTTTCAGTTAGCAGCTGAGTGCTTAACCATTAAGCCACCAGGGCTCCCATATCTGGGAATTATGAGCAGTTGGGAAGAAACAGACTCCACCGCAGTGGGTTTGGTTTGGTTTAGGAAGAACAGACACCTTGTACCAAGACTCAAGGTCTTTGAAACAAGGAGATAGGAGACGTGAGAGAAATACTGCTGAGCAACCAAGTGGTGGTCAGGTACCTTCACGTGTGTGATGGTGGTATTTCATTCTAAAAACTCAAAAGAGCAGCCAGAAAGGCAGGACCTCCGGGGTTGTACAAAGAGGAATCTGGTCCCTACCTGAACTTGAGGGAATCAGTCAATGAGGTGGGATGGTGGGAGGGAGAGAGGTTCGAGCTGCCTCCAGAGAAAAATCAAGTTAAGGGGAATTGCAAAAAGTGCAACAGCTTGTATAAATGGTTGACATTTTGAAAACGTTTCTCGTCCCAATAGTGTCCACCTCGATTCTTCCAAGGGGAGCAACTCCTTTTGTCAATTCTCGTTTCTGGGCCTCACTGCAGCCCAGGCTTTCTTCCGCCCACTCAGCTCTGACTTCAATACTCTGTCTCCGCCTCTGGCGCCCCCTGAGCTCAGCTCCGCCCCCCCACGCTAGAAAAGCTCATGGCTGGCCCCCAGCCTGGCTGCGCTGCATCTCAGGCCCCGTCCCGCCCGACCACCAGCTCCAGCTCGCCCCCGGCCCAGTCTCAACCCGGGTCCCTAGGCCAGCTCCGCAAGTCCCGGCGCTCGCCGCTTCAGCCCCGCCCCGCGCTCCCACCACTCGGCGGTTACCAAGCTGGTCCCGCCCGGCCGACGCAGGCGCCGCGCAGCCAATCGGCCGGTGCCACACTGCGGCCTGAGCCGGGCTAGGGGGTTGGGACCTCCGGCTGCAGGTCCGCCTGGGCCAGACGTGCGAGCGCAGGCTGAGGGTGCGTGGTCGCCGGCCCAACCTCTGCAGTCCCCGCCGAGCCCCTACCCTCCTGGCCGCCCCCACCTCACCTCGCCGCCATGAGCCTCCGCCGCCTAGCGCTGTTCCCGGTCGTGGCACTGCTTCTCGCCGCGGCTCGCCTCGTCGCTGCCTCAGACGTACTGGAACTCACTGACGACAACTTCGAGAGTCGCGTCGCCGACACGGGCTCTGCGGGCCTTATGCTGGTCGAGTTCTTCGCCCCCTGGTAAGATCATTATGCCGGGGCTGGGGAGGGAGGCCGAGCTGGACCGATGAGCTAAGGCGCGGAAACGGTTGGGCCTAGGCAGCGCCGGCGCCCTTCACCATTCCAGCAGGCCCCAGCTGCTACCGCAGTTTTCCAACCCCGGGGAGCCGGAGCTGCCTCGTTGAGAGCGGAGAAGTTGGTGCTGATGGCTTGGGAGCAAGGCCCGACAAGGAAAACCTGAAGGCCACCTTACACAGAGCCGCAACCGTACCATGGTGCTCATGCGGCACTTCCTATTTGCAGAGGGTTTAACCATCCCCCCCCCCCCCGCGAAATCTATCTTTACAGTTCCTGTGTGAGTCAGTGTTACAGTTCTTATGCCTACAAACGAGGCATCCCAAGGCTTTAAAATTGAAGTGAACGTTTCATCTAGAGCGGAGACCCCTGCTCCTCAGTATATTTCCTTTCTTCTTACCGCCCCCCCCCCAACCATTGGTTTCTAACCAAGGTCAGTCAGTGGCTGCACAGTAGTCATAAGTGCTTTCTTAAGACAGGCAATTATTTTGTCCATCGCATGGTGTACACTTTATACATTAAGCTGATCACTTATTTCTCTGCAGCAGCAGAGTCCTCTGTGAAAAAGAAAAAGAGTAGGTGAGCAAGAGGAAGTCTATCCATATCTGTCCAAATTGTCACTTTTAATTAGGATTTCTAAAAAATGCCAAAAAGACTAAAATGAGAAAGGAACCACTGATGGAGACATAGTCCACTTAAGAGTGGAATTGAACTTGATTGAGCAAGAATGTAAATTCTTTAGGATCCAACTACTTTGAAATAAAGATCTGTCCTGGGAGGGAGGGGAAAGGAGAGCAAAAAGGACTCTGGACCAGTAAAGCTTGTGTGTGTTTTTTGCATGTTTGTGTTTTGTTTTTAACCTTGTATCATTACCACAGCAAATAATGATTATCTTAAAGCTTGGGATAACTTAATATAGCCATACTAATTACAGTACTTAATTTTTCCCTTTGTGCCACAATGACTTTTAATGAAAAACAATCTATTCAAAAGTACCACTAAAACAAAGTTAGTGTATAACTTCCATTTGCTTCTAACTCTCTCCTTTTCTCTCCTCAAGGGCTCAGCTGATCTGTTGAGGGTTACAATAGAAGCCCGATAGTGAAGGCCACCTAAATCAGAAGGGTGTGCTAGAGGCAACAAATTTGGTTTTGAGTTTCTTGAGATTTTTGTGCAGGGTACTCTAGTAGCTAACTAGCAGTACTGAGTACACATTAAAAGTGGTTTTTATACATCTCCGGAACTCATAATTCTCTCTTAGAAATATTGCTCTTCTCAATTACGTAACTATGCTGTTAACTTTGGGAGAGGATGTCACTGGAATTAGATATCTTTGTGGAGTTGTATCAAAACTGGGTGACGTGTCTTGACTATAGACCTTAACATGAAGTGAGTTGCTAGAGAACTTTTAGTTTAAAGCAGGGTTTTTTTTTTTAATTGAAAGTATTCTTTCCCACTTTAAATTGATGTGCTTCCCTAAAAACTACATATCCCGTCATGCACTAAACTATCCCAAGAGTTGGGTGGATCTCTGCTGTGGTGTCTGCTTTCAATTGGTTTAGAAGATAAAGTCATCCTCCATAGTGCCAACCAGAAAGATCAGTTTTCTGAATGAGTAATTTGGAGTCGAGGAAGTCTCCTGTTGATAATATCCTTATTTCTTCACATTCAGGTATTTTAATTATTAATGCTTCAGCTAGAAATGTTTTCTGACTGCTATATTCCTTTGAGGGCGCTCTGGTGGCGTAGTGCCTAAGGCATTTGACTGCTAACCAGAAGGCTGGTAGTTCAAAACTACAAGCCACTCCTTGTTAGGAAAACTGGGCGATGTACTGCCATAGTGATACCGCCTCAGAAACCCAAGGAGGGGTCCCTGTGAGTCAGATTCAACTCAACAGCAGTGAGTTTTTTGTTTTGTTTATATTCCTTTGTAAGGAGTCCTGGTGGCACTCCTGGCTAAAAGTCGGCAGTTCAAATCCACCAGCTACTCTGCTGGAGAAAGATGTGGCAGTCTGCTTCCATAAAGATTTATAGACTTGTAAACTCTATGGGATAGTTATATTGTGCCCTATATGGTCACTATGAGTTGGCATTGACTTGATGGCAGTGGGTTTTGGTTGTATATTCCCCTGTACAGATCAGGAATAAAATTTCAAAGTTAGGAATAGTTAAATAATCCTTACTAAGAGTAAAATCAACCAAGCAAGTTCTTTTTCTGATTTGTTTTGTCCCTTCCCCACTACCACACTTTCATTTTACAAGTGAAAGTGAAAGATTTCTTTGCAGTTAACATAGTAGACTAATAATTCAAATATGGAGTTAATTATGTGTTTGTAATAACAGGATTATATAAATTTCTTTAGACAAGTAAATAATACCATTTAAATATTTGTGGTAAATTCATAAAATTTATTGATAACTTAAAAAATTGATCAGTGATGTTAGTTTTAACACTTATATACCTAGTTACATTGTAGATTTTACTTCTTTCCCCAGGCAACTAACGAGTTGCTCCTTTCTCTTTATTGGCTCCTAATTATACTGTCAGGAGCTCTGGTGGTATAGTACCTAAGGGCATTTGACTGTTAACCAGAAGCCTAGTGGTTCAAACCCACCAGCCACTCCTCAGAAGGAAGACAGGGCAATCTACTTCTGTAGTGATACCTCCTCGGAAACCCAAGGAGGGGTTACTATGAGTTGGATCCTACTCAATGGCAGTTGAGTTTGTTTTTTTTTGTTGTTGTTTAATTATACTGTCAGCCCTGCCACATGGTGTTGCCTGTAGGGAAAGGACTATGTCTAGTTTTTTGTTGGAGGCTAAAATAGCACTTGGTAATTGGCAGACATGAAGTAATGATTTTGGGTGATTATCTAGGAGTCTTTTATTAGCTGCTATATATCATCCCTGAAGATAACCAAAACTAAACTCACTGCTGTTGAGTCGATTGGACTCATAGTGAACCCTCCTTGGGTTTCCGAGGCAATATCTCTAAGGAAGTAGATTGCCCAATCTTCCTTCTGACTGGCTTGTAAGTTTGAACCGCCAGCCTTCTGGTTAACCATCAGATGCCTCAGGCACTATGCCAAAGGTAGATGGCATTATTTGTTATAATATTATCACGGGGTGGGTGAAAGAGTATTTTTTTTTTAAAGTTTTTTTAATTGTGTTTTAGGTGAAAGTTTACATAGAAATTAGGTTCTCCTTTAACAATTTTTATACATATGTTCCATGCCATTGGTTACAATGTTTACAATGTGTTAGCATTCTCATTTTTTCATTGTTAGCTTTGTTTCCATTGATCTAGTTTCCCTTCCCCTCCTTGCCTTCCCATCTTTGCTTTTGGGTAAATGTTGACCTTTTGGTCTCAGTAGCTAATTGTTCCAGGGAGCACATAACTCATGGCTGATAC